CACCCCCGTCATTTATTATTGAGACACCCCCTCCTTCCATAAGCCCGAATCGCAAAACAAGTTCTGGGGGGGGGTGGATTTATTAATGTCACGGTAACATTGCAAGTCAAGAGCATGCACTGCGCAGTGCAGGAGCTGACACCAATTCGAACTGCAGGTCCACTCCCTCCGGCTCCTAGCTGGTCGCATGGGGAAATTCGGGACAGTTTGCACCCTGTACATTCAATAAGTTGATCCAGCACGAAGTGTAGAAAGCGCAACAGGTTGTCGCAAGCAGAACAGCCTGCAAGTTAGTTATTGGCATGTTGTACAGTAGAACATTGGCCGTATGTATGGATCAGCTGCACAGCAATAGTTTTTTAGACGTGCACGGGCATCCAGAGCTGAGCTACAGGAACCGAAGACACTCTAAAGCTCTAAAGCTCTAAAGTCAAGGCTTGCGCACATCTCCAAGGTAGGTTTGGGTCTTATGTGTCTCTCTCCTGAGCCTGCGTCTCACAGCATAGCAGCTTACCAGAAAAGGTGAATGCATGGCGAGATGTGATGAAGCTTTGCCAAGGCTTGCAATCCATCGCGCAAGCCAACGTGCCAGGTATGTGATGAAGCTTTTGGAGAGCACCTGGCAGGGGTTCAGCAAAGGAAAACACACCAAAAAAGAGTTCCCTGCAAGATGCGGGATGGTTGCTTCAGTAGGGTCTCCGTTGGTGACGTGTGTTTTTTCGCTCGTGAACGACTGGCTCAAGCCAAGCACTTCAAGTCAACCTAGAGCAAATGCATGCTGCAGCATGTCAGGCATTGTGCTCTCCCAAACATTACCGGGCCATCCCTGCAGTACACTCCACCGTCTATGCCGGATGCGTCTCAAACGCTCCAGCCCGCTTCATCCTTCCGAGTTGCTTGCCGAAATTTCATGCGACAATGAGAGATACGACATCATGAAGCTGCAATACGTCCCTGCAGTAGGAGTTCAAGAATTAAAGGTCTGTTGTGCCAACTATTCCTTTCCATGTCCATTGAGCTTCAGGCACGCCGTGGTGGCCGTGTTGAGCTTTCCACGTTGCCTCGCTGCAGCTTAGACGCTCCTTTGGGAAGATGGCATGGTTAGCAATTTTTTGGTCTCGCTAGGGAGGAGGACTTGGAAGATCTTCTGGCGCGCGTGCCTGAGAGGGGTCTGGCGAAACCTATTTGCAGTCCATGGCTGCATCGTCCGCGTGTTATTTGATGCAAGGAGAGCTGATGACTCCGTCCCAGAGTTTGACCCGCAGGACCTTTTGTCCTTTGTATCTCTTCTACAAAGTATCTTGGATGTATGTTTTGGGCTTAGATGCATCCATGCGGGTTATTGTAGACAGCAGCTGGACAAGAGAGGGAGAGACGTATGTCTCTTCAGCTGCATTGCGCAATCACACAGTTTTCCATTGTTGAGGCGTTGAGGCAAGATATGCTGATAGGATGCGGTTCATGTCACTGTGGGAGCCAGGAGTTTATTCGACCAGGCATCACGCAGGCGGGCCTTCTTTGCCCCGCCTTTTCAATACCGGGCTACTTGCAGGCAACAACTCCAACCTGGGGGATGCTAAGTTTCGTAGTCCTGATATGTCCTAGACCCTGCTTGGCACTCGTCCTAGCAGCTAGAGGTAACAGATATTCAGAAGTGCAAAAAAGCATCAGGAAACAGATCTTGGAGCGAGATCACCTGTGAATATCAAACGGGTCAGTCGTATGGAATCGATGCAGGGTCAGGGGATCAGGTGGGAAGCGGACTACTGTGACTCTCTCCTTTGCCACAGCACGAGGCAGATGGTTGCTCATGAGAACCAAAAACCCTAAACCCAAAAGCGAAGCAAGGCATGACAGCTTCAATTTGGTGCGGTCGTGTCAAACGAAGCTCCTAGGTTTAGCGTCTGGGATTGCTGAGGGTAGTTCAGCATGACGTTTAGGGTTTGTTTGTTTATTTTTGAAAGGGGGATTGTGGTTTCGGAGTTTCGGTCGTTGAGGGTATAGCATTGGGGGCTATTGAGGGTGGTTCAGGATCAAGTCTAGGATTTAGGTTTTGGGTTTGCTGCGGGTTTTTGGGCTTTGGTCGTCTAAGGTTTGGTGTTTGGGGTTATTGACTTGGTTTTTAAGGGTGGTTCAGGATCAGTTTAGGGTTTAGGTTTGGGGTTTGCTTAGGGTCTCGGGCTCTTGTTGTTTCAGGTTTACATAGTGTTTGGGGTTACTGACTTGGTTTTTGAAAGTGGTTCAGGATCAAGTTTAGGGTTTAGGTTTTAGGTTTGCTTAGGGATTTGTTCCTTTGGTCGTTCAGAGCTTAGTATTTGGGGTTAATGAGGGTGGTTCAGGATCAAGTTTAGGGTTTAGTTTTTGGGTTTGCTTGCGGTTTTGGGCTTTGGTCGTTGAGGGTTTAGCGTTTGGGATTATGGAGGATGGTTCAAGATCAAGTTTAGGGTTTAGTTTTGGGTTTGCGAAGCATGTTGGACTTGGGGAATTTAGGGTTTAGCGTTTGAGGTTATTGAGGGTGGTTCAGGATCAAGTTTAGGGTTTAGGTGTTGGGTTTGCATAAGGTTTTGGGCTTTGGTGGTTTAGAGTTTGTTGCAAGGGCTTTGGTCGTTTAGGAAGGGCTGGGGGTTTTTGGGTGTGGTTCAGGATAGGGTTAGGGTTTTGGGTTTGCTTAGGGTTTTGGGCTTTGGTTGTTTAGGGTTCGGCTTGGTCTTTGGTCGTTTTGGGCTTTAGCATTCGGGGTTATTGAGGGTGGTTCAGGTTTAGGCTTTGGGTTTGCTTCGGGTTTTGGACCTTGGGAGTTTAGGGTTTAGCGTTTGGGGTTAGTGAGGGTGGTTCAGGATCAAGTTTAGCGTATATAGGTTTTGGGTTTGCTTGGGGTTTTGGGCTTTGGTCGTTTAGGGTTCGATTTGGGCTTTGGTCGTTTAGGGTTTAGCGGTTGGGGTTACTGAGGATGGTTCAGGATCAAGTTTGCGGTTCGTTTTGGGTTTTGGTCTTTCGGGTTCAGCGTTTGGGATTAATGGGGGTGGTTCAGAATCCAGTTTAGGATTCAGGTTTTGGGTTTGCGAAGCGTTTTGGACTTTGGGAGTTTCGGGTTTAGCGTTAGGGGTTGTTAAGGGTGGTTCAGGATCAAGCTTAGGGTTCAGTTTTGAGTTTGCTTGGGTTTTTGGGCTTTGGTCGTTTCGGGTTCAGCGTTTGGGGTTACTGAGGGTGGTTCAGGATCAAGTTTAGGGTCTAGGTTTTGGGTTTTGCGAAGCGTTTTGTTCTTTGGGAGTTTAGGCTCTAGCATTTTGGGTTATTGAGGGTGGTTCAGGATCAGGTTTAGGGTTCAGGTTTTAGGTTTGCTTGGGGTTTTGGCTTTGGTGGTTTACGGTTTAGCGTTTGGGGTTGTATAGGGTGGTTCAGGACGAAGTTCAGGCTTGAGTCTTTTTTTGTTTTTGCTTACGGTTTTGGACTTTGGGCGTTTAGGGTTCGTTTTGGTCTTTGAAATTGAGGCTTTCGCGTTTGGAGTTAATGAGGGTGGTTCAGGATCAAGTATAGGTTTTGGTTTTTGGGTTTGCCTTGGGTTTTGGGCTTTGGTCGTTTAGGGTTCGGTTTGGGCTTTGGTCGTTTCGGGTTCAGCGTTTGGGGTTACTGAGGGTGGTTCAGGATCAAATTTAAGGTTCAGGTTTTAGGTTTCCAAAGCTGTTTGGACTTTGGGAGTTTAGGGTTTAGCGTTTGGGGTTCTTGAGGGTGGTTCAGGATCAAATTTAGGGTTCAGGTTTTGGGTTTGCTTGGGGTTTTGGGCTTTGGTCGTTTCGGGTTCGATTTGGGCTTCGGTCGTTTAGGGTTTAGCGGTTGGGGTTCTTGAGGGCGGTTCAGGATCAAGTTTAGGGTTTAGGTTTTGGGTTTGCTTCGTTTTTTGGGCTTGGGAGTTTAGGGGTCAGCATTTGGGGTTGTTGAGTGGTTCAGGATCAGGTTTAGGGTTTACAAGTTTAGGGTTCAGGTTTTGGGTTTGCTAAGGGTTTTGGGCTTTGGTATTATTGTTTTTTGCTTTGGGATGTTGGGTTTGGGCTGTGGTGCTTGGGGCTTTTGGAGTTGGGCGTTGTGAAAGTTGTTTGGGTTTGGGCTAGGGGTTGTTCAGTGTTGATGGCTTTGGATTGTTGAGGTGTTCTTTGTCGAGCTTGCCTTTGGTCGACATTTAGGGCGCAGGACTGCTTAAGGGGCTGTTTAGAGTTTTAGCGTTTCGTTGGGGTGTAGGGTTTGGGGTTGGACTAGTTTTTTGCTGCGTATGGGTAAATTTTGAGTTTGAGTTGATTAAGGGTGTTGTCGTTCGTTTGTGTGTGTGTGTGTGTGTGTGTACTGGTTTTGCTTTTTTGGAGGAGGGGGGGTGCGGGGCGGGGGGTTGGCTTCTGTCCTTCTTTGGCTAGTGACTGTATTTTCTGGTTTTCCTGCTGCTTTCTGCTTTCCGGTTTCACCGTTTGATCTCTGCTTTGTTTTTTTCCTGACTCCAGCTTTCTGCTTCTTGCTTCCTGCTTCTTGCTTTCTGCTTGATGCTCTCTGCTTCTAGCTTCCTGATTTTCTTTCTTTTGTTGTTTGGCCTGTTCTCGCAGTCAGCGCGCAATCTGTAAGAACCACGTTTACAAGTCTTTGTAGCATTGCTACAAGCAATGCCACTGTTTTGTTGTTGGTTTTTTTCATAATATGTTGTCATGGCTTATTATTGTTCTGCCACTGCTGTTATTGCGCTGATCCTCTTAACGCTTATGACGGTTAGTTTTTTCGCCATAATGGTGATTGCCTTTGTCCTTGTTATGGCCATCGATGCTATGAATACAGAAATTCCTTGTGACATTGTGAGTAGTAGTGCTGGTACTGAGTTTGTTGTTGCTGCTTTTGTTGTTGAGGCTGTTATTCAGTTTGTCGTTGTTAGTGTTGCAATCACTGCCATGCGTGGCCGTGACAAATATTACTGTCACTGCTGAAGCGTTTGCCACTATAACTATGGCTGGCTCCACTGTGTAACTGTTGCTGCCGTTTGCTCCTAGTAGTACCGTTATTGCTTTAGTTGTTAGACGCAAGTGCTGTCGCTACAGCTTACTTCTACTCATGTTGTTTTTGTTATCCATCTTGTTCTTTTTCTTTCTAACCAGTGGTACCCTTAGCATTATTTTTACTTTCATGCTGAAATTTGCCAGGCCCCTGCTTTGTTTTCCTGAGACAGGTGCGTGCAGGGGTGGGGGCTAACGGCTAACCGCAGTGGGAAAACAGAGTATTTTAGGCCTCCAGGAAGCCCATAAAGCATCATAAAGCTGGGCTTCGCCGACAGCACACCAAAATGCAAAAAGATTGCCAAAAAGTTCAAGAAGGTGCATCAAAGTGATTTTTGCGCGCTTGAGGTTTGGGGTTGCTTAGGGTTTTCCGGGCTTTCTGGGGCTTGGGGTTGAGGTTTAGGGTTGTTGAGGGTTGTTTAAGGTTTGGGGTTTATGGTTGTGCTATGTTCTGCTGGGTTTGGGGTTGGATAGGGTTTTAGGTTGATTAGGGTTGAGGGCTTGAATTGTTTGGGTTTAGGGTTTGCGGTGGCTTAGGGTTTACGTGCCGCTAGACTGCCAAATTCACTGCCCCATCCGAATCCTTGCACCGTGCTCGATCTCGTGTTGTCTGCTCTGCATGACGAGACGCTGTTCGTACCAGATACTGAGCCAAAACGAACGAGCTGCTACATACAGGTTTTTACGCATTGGTCCCAACCATTGTATCTCTAGGGTCCAGAACCTAGATTTTCAACCCTCAGCGTAAATCCTTAAAAAACGTTGTAAATATGTAAGCCGAGCATATCGTAACCCTTGGGACTTCATGTGCTGAGCATCCATCAAAGCCCAAAGCCAGTTCCAAATCGAGCTCAACAGGCTGAGATCCTTGAGATGAAGAGTGCCTTTGACCTTCTGGATGCAGGCGGTGTGTGCCTCAAGGGGCAAAGCCCGACCTTCGGGAAGTGGGACAGTTGGTGTCATGCCTGATTGCAGAGGAAAGGGGAGGCTTAACTTGGAGGACAATCTGGCAAGCCTGTTGATTTCCCTCTTTCCTTCGGTGCTTTGTGGGCTGCTAGGAAGCCATCGACAATTTGGAAAATCTGGGGTGGGACAGGTGGCAGATCATGCGCCTGTTTCTGCTGGTAAATGTCATGAGCTTTGCAGGCTGGAGCAGGAGCCTTTGATGGTTGCCATCCGCGCATGCCGCCGGAAGGGCGTGAAGACTGATTTCGCAGGTCTGGTAGTCTTGTTGTTGTTTCTGCTCTTCTTCGTCTGCGTCGGAGGCTTCATGGATGCAATTGGGCCACTCCTGGCTGCGACCGAGCCCACGCAGGCCAGATTTGCAGATGGACAGACAACGAGAGTCGTGCGTGTGCTGGCTGCTAGTTAGGGTTGGCGCGTGAGTATTGGACCAGTGTTGCATCATTGCGCAGCCTGTTTAGGGAAAATCCTGGGAAGCCTTCCAGCACGCCCTGAGGAGAGCTTGAGGCGAGCCTGGCGTCTCCTGGATGAAAACCGCAAAGGCCACATAGACCTGGAGGTGCGCGTGGGCATGTCGTGGGCCAAACAAAGAGTATTTCTGAACATAATGCGTAATATGGCCCTTGTGACGGGAGACATAAAAGGGTTGTGCATTTTGTTTTGGGCTTTCGCCACTCCCCCTGGCGATGACATTCGTGAGCATCCCACCCGACCTAGAGATATGCGCATTCCTGGCAGCGTAACTTTCCATGGGTAATTTGTGGCTGCCAAGTGCACAAGTTCAGCTTGGCTCTGGCTATTTAGCATTCTTGTTACTAATATTATTATTCGTATAGCACTCGTAGTATTAATCTCAGAGTCAATATTAATATTGTAGCTGTTCTGTGGCAGGATTTAAGCCGGGTCGTGCACAGCTTTGGCTTGGAGCTCTCCATTGAAGAGCTCCGGGACATGGCGCGGAGCTCATCAACAAGACATGAGCCATAGTCTAAACTCCTAATATCCCCCTTAATAGCCCCTATAATACTCCCCAATATAATCTTCTATATAACCTCCTCTAAGGAGTTTAGACTATACCCTAAACCCTAAAACCCT